CACACTCCTAGATAATATCCTTCATCGGCTCGACCACCCCCGAACTTTTCTCACAATATGGTTAAGTGAAAGAGAAGAGAAGGTAAGATTGGTAAATTTAAACACAACTCACAACCTAGTTCTTACCAATTCAAAAATCTCCCCATCAATCCAAAAATGTCCACATCTATATAACAATTAATCATGACTATTGTGCTCAAAGTGACTTAGGATCTCGCATGGACAAGCAATTTTTGAAAAATTTAGGTACAAATAGAATATTTGATCATAGCTCGTGAATCAACAACAATTTTAAACATTAAACCATGCTAAGCCGGCAAGGCTATCTAACATATCAACACAATATCACCAATTTAACCACAATCACCCCCAAACTTAAATCACACATTGTCCTCAATGTGTAGAGTACAAGATAAAAGAGAATAGGGGATAGCGAAACTTCATTGGTTGTCTATTTGGTGGAGATGTACCAATGCTCTCCTTGGACTTGTGATGCTTATGATGAACTTGGGCAAATGATATTTTTGTACACAATTTACCCCCAAACTTATAAGGAACAATGGATATGTGGGGCTTCAAAAATTTCCTATAAAAACAATAATAGTTAATCAAATAAAAATAGGAAAATGCATAAAATTAAATAAAAGATTAAAAGTTAGAAAATTGAGTTGCATCCCAATAAGCATTTTTTTATAGTTTTTAGCTCGACTTTGGCTATTGACTCATGGGCATCTAAAGAAGGCTTTGGATGCCTTACCCATTTTTCTTCGTTTGACTTTATTCCACTCTTCAGTAGATCTCCAAAACTCAACATTTCCCTTTTTCATATAATATGACTCACCTATTCCATCCAATTCAAATTCAACTATGAAGATTTCTACTTCCTCATCGGGCTTAATCACAAAATCAATATCTGGCAATCAACTAAGTTGGAAGAGTGTAAGTTGATTTTCTCCTCATTGAATTCCACGTCCTCTTTTAGCTCCATTGTGATTAAATTTTTACTCATTTAGGCTCTTCTTCAATGGTTAAACTCTGATAGGGTTGAATGATTTGTCCAACAGGGAGAAACCTAGCTAATAAACCGGTCCAACCGCATAAACCAGTTCACCCTTGACCTTTTTGCGGTTTTTTCAGTTGAATTTACAAAATTTTAGTGAACTTCTGCTGGCCGGTTTTAAAAACATAAATAAATTCGCAAAATTTATAGCATGGTCATATCATCATGTAGACACATCTGCGATACTTTTCTCATCGTGTTTGCTTATTTGCTTCTACAGTAAATTGTAAACTTAAACAGAACAAACTCGAAACTTCTATACAAAGTGATCACATATAATACTATTATGACACAGAGTTCCTTATGCAGCTGCCTTCCAGGTTGACAAAGGGGGGGTGTCTGAATCTTTCCATGTAGGGATATCGGGTCCATATCTCTCACCCTTGACAGCATCGGCTGAAGCAATAGATTCGAGTTTGGCCATGTCTTCTTCAGTCAGTTTTACAGACAATGCTCCCATGTTTTCATTAAAATTTGCAAGTTTTGTGGTACCAGGTATGGGACACACATCATTTCCTTGATGATGTACCCAAGCCAAAGCAAGCTGTGAAGGGGTGCATCCCTTTCTATTTGCGATATCCTTGACCCTCTCGAATAAGCTTTTATTAAGCTCCAGATTCTCGGGTTGGAATCTTGGTAGACGCTGCAAAATGTAAAGCACATCTTTCACCATAAGAGCAAAAAGAGTTTGAGCATATATATTAGTTTCAATATTGATAATTATGACTGTACAACTACACATTTTAATAGCAGGATGAATTTGGCCTCTAAACAAGGCTCAACGTCACCGAATAAAGTGCACGCTTCAAGGGGAAAAACTTGTTGCGGACATTAGTACTTCATTTGGTACAGCTTTACCATTGAAGTGAGGGATTAATGCTGACCTGACCGAACTTCATCAAAACGGTTTACTTGCTCAACTCAACAGGTCTTATGGTAACATAATTAATTTTGGTACACCACCTATTTTCAGAAGCTTAAGTTTTCCAATTCTCTTCTAAGGATGAGCTCATCGTATTATACTGAAGTTGAGGGCTCTTATCTTGAAATATAAATCAAGAGAAAGAAAAAAGAATTACTTAGATGGTTTTGGTAACTTAATCAGAATGTATTGCTGCCAGCATATTTGGTTAAGCTCATAAAGGTTACTTAATAAATATGTATTAAAATAATTTTTTTACTGGCAAAAGTTGAAAATAAGTAATTTATTTTGACATCAAGGTAAAAGTTACTTTAAAAAAATAAAGAACTTTTTTATTTAAAATTTAGACAAAAGTAAGTTATGTACTATATCCAAACATATTTGAAAACAAAAAGTTCGTTAAAAGTAGCTGTTTTATCTTTTTGGAGCTTACGCAAACATACTCTTGAATAATTATATGTTCAAAAGCTTGCGTTTCAAGTGAGGGCATAACTTATATTCATAATACCGTAGATTCTTAGATATTATGTGTATCATAAATCAGAAGAAACGTGATGGTGTGCACAATGGCTACGCAAAATAATTCATAGTTGAATAGGAAGCTCAGAAGGGATAGAAGAAAGAATGAAACAAACCAACCTTTCGAAAGTCCACTTCAGAGAAAGTTTCAACCACTTTTGGACCGGAGGAGAAGAATCCCCGTCCAAGAGGACTGTATGCAACTATTCCAATGCCAAGTTCTCTAAAAAATTGCACCAAGGATGTATAGAGTTAGAACTCTATGTTTCTTACTGGCTCGAAATATAATAACTATTACAATAATAATCAAACCTGCAAGTGGGAATTATTTCTGCCTCAGCATCTCTTGTCCACAAAGACCACTCCAACTGCACAGCTGTAATTGGATGAACATCATGCGCCCTTCTGATTGTAGAAGGTGAGGCCTCTGATAGACCAATATATTTTACTTTACCTTCTTCCACAAGTTTCTTTAGTTCTCCCATCTTGCAAAAAGAGAGATCCAAATTAATAAGTAGAGGCTTAAGAAAGAAACGTGTGGAATCAAGTCTAAGAATAAAAGGGAGACATCCATATATAATCAAATATGCACAACTTTAGGGTATGTCGGCTGTAGTAACTACTCTACTGTAGTGCCATTCCTGAATATTCCATGTCACATTTTCTAGATTTATAAAAGGTTTGAATTGTGAGATCGAACCAGAACTTGCTTTATATACACCTGAGTCATTAGAGGAAGGTCAGGTTACACTTAGCCATTAAAAATTGTTAAGTACCTCCATTCTCATCCTATGAAAAGTGCACCTCACGTGTCAGTCGATTCTCAACAGTCCCAACCTACTTCATTCACTAATTCAGTCTCATATATCCTTGAACAACAAATAGACAAAGCCACAAACCCAAACACTATTGTTGAGACAAAAGATTTGGGTAATGTTCCTTCTTTTCCCACACCGCGTCATTCTACTTCCCAAAAAGAGCTGACAACAATCTAATTATAAGTCCACAAAATAGTATAACTAAACCCCTGTGATGAACTTTTAAATGTCTTCATCATGGCTGGATGTAAGAAAAGCTGTATTCCTTCATCAGACTTCAAAAGTTTTAAGGGTTCGTGCCCCCAGCATTGTTCTCTTACATTAATATTTATTAAGCCACTAACCAGATTCACAAATCTTGTAAATTTCAAATGATATAGCAGAAATAATGGAGGAAAGAGCTGTAGTATAGTTTTGTACTCACTCCGTCATTAATCTGAAATAGTGGTGTAAAGCTTCCTTTCTTTGAATATACTGAGGTTGTAGCGAATACTCGAATTTACATTATCATGTGGTATCGTGCTAACTTGTTCAAAAGTATGTCCTTTCAACTCCAATTACATGACATGATTGATGAAGCCATTAAACTATCACTTCAAGCTTTGTCTCTACGGTTGAATTACAGTTAGAACTTAGAGATAGCACAACCTACTTGAGTGGGATGGTCATGATTGATAACAATACAGTAGTTAAGAAGACAGATTTGCACAATTCAAAAGTTCACCAATTTGTCAAGATTAACCCAAGCTTGGATCAATCAAATGATAAATAGTAAACATATACAAAGGTACCAAACAGCACAAGTTCAACTTACAATCAGCTAGATAAATGCTTGTTCAATATAGGTTCGTTAAGAAATCACATGAAGCTTAAGCTCAATTTCAAATTTATTGAGAAATCAAACCAAGTTCCAACGACCCACCTTTTGGCTCAGCTCATTGGCACACATGTTGAAAGCCCGTTACATATAAATAACAAGAACTACTGATGCTCACACTATGTAAAACTAAATTATGAGAGATACAAAGACAAACAAAAGAGAATAGAGGGTTAACCGTGACTTCGATAGGCACACGTGTATCAATGCGGTGTTGGTAATAAAGATCAATGCAATCAACATCAAGCCGCTTCAAGCTGGCCTCACAGGCAGCCCGTACATAGGCTGGGTCGCCACATATGTCATTCTTCCCATCAGCAAGTCTAATCCCGAATTTCGTAGCTAACTCCACTTTCTCCCTCATTCCATCCTTCAAAGCCTATGCAAAGCCACAATTTGATAACAAACAGTAGATATATATTACAAAAACATCGATATGTTAAACATGGGCACGAGAAGTGAAAGAAACTAAATAGATAAGTGAGAGTAAGGTTCAACACTAACGTCCAGGAGTACTAATAACGAGGCTGAAAATAATGCTTGAATAAGTTTTTACTTCTCCAGCAAAAAAGAGTTAATTTGATATCATTGTCAATGAGATCGACGAAGATTATTATTACCATCCTTATACTGTAACTATATTTACTATAATTCTCTTCCCATATTTGTATAATTCTATTACCATTGTGTAATTATATTTCTATATAATACAACCAATCCCGAACGAGAAGATCAATCAAAAGATTGTTATGATATCAGAGCCTACCTCTGAGATAGCTGAGTTTTGGGTTACTTCCGTCGGTCCTTGAGTCGTGTGGTGCAGCGTTTTGGCTCGTGGAATCAGGAGAAATGGTATCTGATTTCTCCTTCACATGCGGGAATCGATTCTTTGTAGGTAAATTGGTAGGTGGTCAGAGTTTTATCTAAGATTCTCCGACATTTCTATGTGTGCGCGATTGAGGTATCTGTGATACGCGGTGTCTCTATGGGTGGCGCTTCTGTGGGTGCAATTGGCGTCACTGTGGGTGATCGATGCGATTACCGGCGTCTCCGTCTTTGTGCACGCGATTGGTGGCGACTCGCGATGCATCTCCGACAATTGGGTGATCGACTCGACCTCTGTGGATTTGCATCTCTATGATCAACGTGTGATCAGTTACGATGTGTGGGTTAGGTTGTGGACTTATTAATTGGAGTGGGCCTCTTGAAGTGGATTGTGGATTTATTGTTTGAAGTGGGCTTTAATTGTGGTGATTTTGGGTAAAAGGTTGTTTGGGCTTTTTCATGGACTGAGGTTACAGTAATTTGTTATTTTCCTACGTTAAGAAGTCATGTCGGTTGATGCCTCTTGTGTTAAGTTCAGGGGAAAGAATTATTCTATATGGGAATTTTAATACAAGATGTTCTTAAAGGAGGAGCTTTGACGTCATTTTGATGGGTTCTTTAAAGTACATGAAGATGCTAAGGATCTTAGTGCTTGGGAAACGAGGAATACTCATATTATTTCCTGAATTTTGGGGTCTATGGAGGCACACATGGTGAATAATTTACGCTCTTTCACCATTGCTAAGGAAATGTGGGAGTATTTGAAGTGCATTTATTATCAAAACAATAATGTTCAAAGATTTCAACTGGAGTTAGAGATTGCCAACTATACTCAGAGTAATCTTACTATTGAGCAATATTATTCTGGCTTTTTGAACTTGTGGAGTGAGTACTCGAGCATAATTCATGTTAAAGTTCTTGCGACGGCATTTTCAGCACCACAAGATGTTCAAGAAGTTAGTAAGCGGGATCAATTTCTTATGAAACTACGACCTGAATTTGAAGTGATTCAAGCGGGTTTATTGAATCGTGATCCAGTTCCTTCATTGGATGTGTCTAGGTGAACTTTTGCATAAAGAGCAACGATTGGCTACTCAAGCTAATATTGGAACTGATCTCTCCTCAGCTGATGTGGCCACCGTTGCATATACTGCCCAAAGACGAAGAAAGGGCAAACTTAAGTGTTTTCGCTACAAAGGATACGGTCATATTGCTCATAAATGCCCTCAGATAGTCTGCAATTACTATAAGCAACCAGGGCATATCATCAAGGACTATCCCACACGACCTCCATATCGAAAAGCTAAATCATTTCAAGCCGATATTCAAGGTACATACCCCAGAAATGGTTTAGCAAATGATTGTTTCCGCCTTCTGTGCTTACAAAGTAAAGGTCCAGTTGTTCTTCTCCTTGATTTGTTGATTTAGGGGCATTAAATCACATGACGGGGTTCTGATTCCTGAATAACATTTGATGCTATACAGGCACACAACACATTCAAATCGCTAATGGGAGTACCTTTTCTATTACTGTTGTTGGTGATCTTGGGTCTTCTTTTAATGATGTCTTTGTTTTTGCGGGCTTATCTACAACTTGATTTTGGTTGGTCAATAAGTTGATAATAACTATGAAGTGTGTTTCTCTCGTGCTGGCTGTCATGTGCACGAGAAGGGGTCGGGGAAGGTGATCGTAAAGGGGGCTAAAGTTGGAAGATTATTTCCATTACAGTTCATTATTCCTATCACTATGTATTTGGCTTGTATTAGTGTTGGACTCAAACATGAGATTTGGCATAAAAGATTAGGACATATAAACACTTTAATTTTGTCTCTTTTTTGAAACGTGGTTTTTTGGGTAATAAAGACCAGTTTCAGTTCCCAAATTTGAATTTTGATTGTGATAGTTGTAAACTTGGAAAATTATGACTTTTTAGTTTCCCACTCATGAAAGTCGTGCTGATAAATGCTTAAAAATTATTCATAGTGACGTTTAGAGAATAACACCCATCACTTCACATGCTCAATACAAATATTTTGTCACAAAAATTGATGAATTTATTTGTTACACTTGGATATATTTTCTTTGTTCTAAAAGTGAAGTCAATATCATTCTTAGGACTTTTGTAGCTTACATTGAAACACAGTTGTCTGCCAACATTCAGATTCTGAGGTATGACACCGAGGGAGAATATATGTCTCATGACTGTCGAACCTTTTTCCAACAAAAAAGTACGCTCTTGTCCATATACTCCTCAGCAAAATAGGGTAGCCGAATGAAAGAATCGTCACTTGTTGGATGTTGTTCGAGTTTTGCTTTTAGAATATTTAGTTCCACCTAGATTTTAGGTAGAAACTCTATCTACAGTTGAACACCTAATTAATCGACTTTCTACTCAGCATTTGGATTTTGACTTGCCTCATTTTCTTCTGTACAGTACACATCCTAGTTATGACATGTTACATACTTTTGGGTGTATTTGTTTTGTTCATCTGCCCCCTCATGAACGTGATAAACTTGTTGCTCAATCTGTAAGATGTGCTTTTATGGGTTACAGTATTGCTCAGAAGGGTTCCATCTGTTATGATGGTGTTACTAACCGCTTTCGTATATCTCGCAATGTGATCTTCTTTGGGAATTAGTATTACTTCTAGCAGCACGTCATCTATTCTTCTGATTGGCTCCACTCGGTAAATTTGAGGATGACTCTCATCCTATCGAACATTTTAAGCTAGGTTTGGTGTATCAGAGAAGACATCCTCCAGCCCCACCACCCCTTCCCGACCTTGATCTCTCTTCAGACTCCACTAATCTAAGGCGATCCACTCGCATCAGTCGACCTCCCTTATTCTTAGGCAATTATCCAACCTTGCTGGGAGAAAGCAATGCAAGAGGAACTCAAGCTCTTCGCAAGAATCACACATAGGATATTGCTCCTTGCCCTCATGAGGTCAAACCTATTGGATGTAAGTGGGTCGACTCAGTTAAGCCATGCTCTGATGGTTCTCTAGATCGATATAAAGTTCAGTTGGTGGCTCTTGGTAATCGCCTAGGATATCGGGAGGATTACTAGGAGACTTTTGCCCCCGTTGCCAAAATGACAACGTTTGGTACCATTCTTGCTATAGCTGCCTCCAAGAGTTGGTCTTTGCGGCAGATAGATGTTAAGAATGTTTTCTTGCACGGTGATCTTTAGGAAGAGATTTATATGTCACCCCCAGCAAGTCTCTTCTCCAAACCCTCTTTCGATGTTTGTAAGCTAATGTGTTCACTTTATGGGTTGAAACAGGCTCCTCGTGTTTAGTTTGACAAGTTTCGTTCCACTCACTTGGAGTTCTCATTTACTCAGAGCCAGAATAACTCATCGCTCTTTATCTCTGACAGCAATATAGGTATTATGTTTCTTCTTGTTTATGTAGATGATATAGTTATTACTGGGACCGACTCAGGATTAATATCTCACCTTCAAAACCGACTTAAGGAATCGTTTAATATGAAGGATTTGGGACCTTTACAGTATTTCTTAGGTCTTGAGGTACTTTCAACTCTGACTGGGATTTATCTGCATCAGCATAAGTATACAGAGGGGTTGATTACATTGGTTGGCCTTCAAGATAGTTATTCTGCTGACACTCCTTTGGAGGTGAATGTGAAATATTGCAAGGAAGAGGGTGATCTTCTTTCTAATCCCTCTTATACCATTAGCCAGTAAGTAGTTTGAATTACCTTACTATTACACGACCAGATATCTCTTTTGCTGTCCAGCAAGCTTGTCAATTCATGCATGCTCCATAACATCTTCACTTAACCACAGTTTGTCGTATTATTAGATATTTGCTTGGTACGCCTGACATGGGTCTTTTCTTTCTAGTCAACTCTTCTCTTAAGCTAATGAGTTATAGTGATGCTGATTGGGTTGGATGTGTGGACACTCGTCGCTCGATTACATGTTAGTGTATGATCTTTGTGAGTGCACTTATTTCATGGCGAAGTAAGAAGAAGGATCGCGTTTCTGAATCTTCCACTAAATCTGAGTATCGGGGGCCATGTCTTCAGCTTGCTCTGAGATCGTCTGGCTTCGAGGTCTTCTAACGTAGCTTGGTTACCCTCAGCTTGAGCCTACTCCACTTCATGCCGACAGTGACATTCAAGTTACTACTAATCCTGCGTTCCATGAGCGGACTAAGAACATTGAAGTGGATTGTCATTCCATACGAGATGCTTATAATGATCGCATTATTTCTCTTCCACATGTCACCACTAATGTTCAGATTACTGATATGTTTACTAAGGCAATGACAAGATAGCGACATCAATTTCTGTTGAGGGGGATGTCGATGAGATCGACGAAGATTATTGTTACCATCCTTTTTAACTATAATTCTCTTACCATATTTGGATAATTCTATTACCATAGTTGTATAATTCTATTTTTATATAATACAAGCAATCCTGAACGGGAAGATCATTCGGCCAAAATATTGTTAAGCATTTCCCCAATCAATGTAACGGTCCCAAGAAAAAAGAAAGGAAATTAAAACATATATGGCCATATGATATAGCCCTCACAGCGAAGATAACACCTTAAGCTCTGTTTGATTTGGACAAAAACAATATTTTTAGTAGATTTAATAAAAGTTGGTGAAATGTGTGGTTGAAAATTTGATAAAAGTTGTAGTCCTATGAAATGTGGTTAAAAATGAGTTTTAACAAATGACTGCAACAAGGGCTTAATGTCTGTTGAGTTCCAAGAATACCAGAAAAGGATCGAAAATTGGACGAAACTCCCAATTTTATAAACTATATCAGAAAGCAACAAATATAACGACAATCTAGAAAGTGTTTAAATAGCAATACAAGGAAGTAAAGTCCACGACTTAATTAAACAACATACCAAATAAATAAATAATATTAGAAAAAGGAAAATAAAATATTAAGGATCTGAATCCATCACCACAGAAGCTCAATCTTCCCAACTCTAGGTACAACATTTAAAGCATAAAATACAACACAATTTATTCTATTTCAGCAACTAATATTGTACACCTTTTCTTATATATTTAATAGAAATATACAGAATTTAGAAATTCCCTGTGCACTTAAAGTTGCAGAAGTACAAGGGAGTGTGTGTGTGTGTGTTGGGGTTTAAGTAAATAGGGGAAGAGTACCTACCTTCCCGAGAAGGATTTCATTGGTTTTCGGCCCATAGATGTCGGACGTATCAAGGAAGGTGATGCCAGAGTTGACTGCGTAGTGAATGAGCTTGATCATGTCGGGCTCGGGTTTCGGCTGGCCGAAAAGTGGCGTCATGCCCATGCATCCGAGTCCTTGCACAGACACTTCCAATCCCTGTGAGCCAAGCTTGATTCTGGGTACTTTCACATTGCTTTCGGCAGCCATTATTCAGGAATCTCCGTCTATGTTAATGGATACTGAATCGAATTGGAGGAACAGGTAAAATAATTAACCAGGGTTGGTATACACTACAGACGGAATTAATCAGGTAAAATAATTATTGTTTGTAGCTGATGTTCAACTTATTTCTAGAATCTCAATTAGTCTACTAAATATTAATTTATTTCAATTAGGTCACTAAACATTGATTTAGTTTCACATTACACTATTTTGTCACATTTCGTCTTCTATTTTCCCAAACTAACAAAAAATACATACTTGGCATCCATATTATAATCGATCATTCATGCAATCGTCTCGGGTACCCTAATTGCAACCACGAGTCCCAAGTTAGGGTGAAAATACAAAAAAAAAAAAAAAGTATGAACGTTTTTCACAATAATAATAAAAGTTACGAATATTATGTGATAATTACCATTTTTTAATAATTTATTTGTGACTCGTTTGCACTTTTTTAAAGAAAATTGGAACTGTAGTTCCAATTAGTTCTTTTTTTCTTTTTGTTTTGTTTAAACAGAATGATATATTCGTGATTTCACAGCTTTTAATTTGAAAATAACATTTTGTGCAATGAAATGTGAAAATAATGATGAAAATGCTAAAAAATAATAATAACGTTTTCCAAAATAATAATAAAATGTAAGAACATTATGTGTTAATTATCCATATAAAAACTATGGTAATTATTTGGCCCCAGTTTGATTTAAGTTAAAGTCAAAAAATAATTTTAGCTACATATTTTATGAAACTCGCAATTTTTTAATTACACACTTAATCAAAATTTATTGAAAATTTTATTTTAATTCTCGCCGAACAAGGTCGCCGAACAAGGTCTTATATTAAAACATTCAAAATTTATTGAAAATTTGATTTTAATTCTCGCCGAACAAGGTCTTATATTAAAACATCAAAATATTATTTTATCCACTTTATCACCTTTAGGACGTACGTGATATAATAGTAAATTGGCATGTCGCACGAAAATCAAATGCAAATGAGACAAATTAAAGTTTATGAGTGTAACTGGAATTTCTCTAAAAGTTCAGTGACCGTAATTGATATTCACCCACCAACTTTCATTTTGCTTACGTAAGAGATGACATGAGAAGTTGAAAAAGGCAAAATAACATTTGAAATTTATGTGATGGCAGGTGAAGATGAATTATCAATTATCAAGCTAGTCTTGGTGCAGTTGCTTTCCAAGTTGCCAAGTTGACAAGGGAGGAGTATCTGAAGTTTCCCATGGACGTAGATCGATTTCCCTTGACAGCTAAAGCAATGATTCAAGTTCAGCCATGTTTTCTATCAATTTTGCAAACAATGTTCTCGTATTTTCTTTAAAATTCAAAAGTTTTGTGGTACCAAGTATCAGACAAACATAATGTCTTTAATGATGTACCCATGTCAAAACTAATTGTGAAATCACCCTCTTAAACAAGCTCTTATTATGCTCCAGATTCTCGAGTTCGAATCTTGATAAAATCCGCAAAAAGGTAAAGCACATATTTCAAAGTCGAACCCACACATACCAGTGTTGCCATTTAGAATTAATCACTTTCAAGAGCAGGATAAATGTTGTGGATTTTACACCGATTATACGTGCATATATATCTTTAAACATATTACCGAATACTGATAATATGCGCATAAATATTATTCCACATATCTTCTATATAAGCATGAAATTGAAAATAGAATCGACTTACGAAACCAAGTATATATATACAAACGAATTCGTGCCTTTCCATACTTCGATGAAAGCCATTTCATTTTTCAATTTAAAACATTTCATATAACAATAAAAAGTTAGTATTTCTGAAATAAAATATAATATAAAGAAATCAGAAAGAAGAAAAAGGAGATGCAAGAATAAGATTGGTCGAAACAAGTGAAACACTATTTTCTTAAGATGAATTTGCATCGGAGCTCACGATTTTTCGACAATCATCTTTCAAGACACAACAATTACGTCTAGCCATATGAGCACTCTAAATGGCTTAAACCAAAGAACTCGAATGGAGTTTTCTCTCTACCATAACCATGACTTCGATGCAAAAAGAAATCACTTCTATAAAGTGTTCTTAAGAAAAACCAAAGTCTAAATTGTTTGGAATGGAATGAATAACTAACATCCAGGAGTCCTTTTTATGAAAGGTAAAGAGATGTAGTTAAAGAGACACGCTTCAAAATTCAACATTTTTATGAAGGGATGCAACCCATTCCACCGCTCTCCTACTGCCCATGTGGCTTTCGAGTGGCGCAATGCAGTGAGCTATCACTCGCCGACACTAGCCGTCGCTCAAGCAGCGACCTCACATCCTGAATTCTGATTTTTCCTTCAACTTTGGATCACATTTTCCCATTCATATGGAATTGATTTTTAGATTTCACATATATTACGACGATCTACTCGACGGGTATAACAAGTTAGCTTATTTACTTTCGTAATTTAACTACCAAATCAAGTCCGAATATTTGACTAAGTTGACACAAAGTCACTTTTCAAGGTTCGTACTTAACCAAAATTTCATTTCTTAAACCAAATTCCAACTATGAATTGGTCCTCTTCGACAACAATGTACATGGTTGAAGGGGAGAGATTTGTAGTGGTCATTAGCTGCCATGTAAAGTGGCAAGATTTAAGGCCCAGATTTCATTTTGCACAACGTTCCCATTCAACTAAACTAAAATTCTAGTTGCCAAACATAATTTTGGCACCCCCAAATTTTTAGAATCATAACTTTCTTTTTTTTTTTAATTGAATTTCACTGTTTTCCCAAATGAAACTCGAACCCAAGTTTCTCATCTGATAAAATTTCGCTCTTACCAATTGAGCTCGTTTCAATAAAATAGTAAATAGTAAACATATAGAAAGGCATCAAAAAACTAGATTTCAGCTCATATTCAACGGGATAAATGATCATAACACGAAACTTAAGCTCAATATTGAATTTACATATAAATCAATCCAGGCTTCAAAACCAACCTTTTGGCTCAGATATTGGTATGCTTGTTGAAAGCCCATAACATATCAATAACAAGAGCTAGTTGCAATCAAAGTTGGAAATCTAAATTACGAGATAGAGGGAAATAAAGGGTTAACTGTGACTTCGATATGCACACGTGAATCAATGCGATGTTGATAATAAAGATCAATATAATCAATTGTTAGATATATATTATATATATTAGGTGCAAGCAATGTGCAATGCACATTTGCGTAGTTTATATTTAATAGTTTTGTTTAAAAATTAATTTATTATTAATAAATATGTAATTTTTTTGGTTAATTAAATAATTAATTATGTAATGTTTATGTAATTGATAAATAATTAGATGTGTGATTTTGATGTTGTGATGTAAGTTGGTGAGATCGAAGAAAATAAGCAAAAGTTGACAAATTTGGAGAAATGGCTAAATTGTAAGGGATCCAAAGTTCGGGGACTAAAATGTACATACTTAAAAGTTGTGCCGAACCTCACGATGAAGATTTGAGAGTGCTCGGAGTCAATTGGATAAAGAAAGACGTCAATGGAATCAAATTTAGGTAAAAGATGATCACAAATCAATTTTCAACCGAAAAGTTATGCTCCGGTGTTTTAATCTCATATTGAGACCTATTTTTGGCAAAGGAATTGATCGAATTAGAAAATGATATCTGAATTAAAGTTGTAGCCAGATGAGTTATCTTTCCAACGCATTTTGTATTGCCTCAAGAGGATATCGGAATACAAAGTTATGATAAAAACACTGAAAGAAGGTGCAACTGCCTGTTTAAAACAAAAAATTCCGTTACATAATCCGTTATATTGAGACCTATTTTTGGCATAAAAAGTGGTCGAATTAGATGATGATGTCTGAACCAAAGTTGTAACGAAATGAGTTAGATTTCCAACGCATTTTGAATTGCCTCAATCGGATATCGGAATATACAGTTATGATAAAAACACTGAAGGAAGGTACAGCTACCTGTTTAAAACAAAAAATTCTGTTATATAGTCCGTTATATTGAGACATTTTTTGGCATAGAGAGTGATCGAATTGGAGAATGATGTTTGAATCAAAATTGTAGCCAGATGAGTTAGCTTTCCAACGCATTTTGAATCACATCAATCGGATAACAAAATACAAAGTTATGATAAAAACACTGAAAGAAGGTGCAGCTGCCTGTTTAAAACAAAA